GGAATCATGGGGACGGACAGGAAGTTAAAGGGGGAATCATGAGGACGGACAGGAAGTTAAAGGACCCAGAACAGGAAGAGAAAGAGGGAACCCCAGTTGCAGCCACTTCAAAAGGTTTGCCGCGTGCCAGAAGAAAGGGTTTCACGTGCCGTGCCATAGGTTGGCCATCACTGCCCTAAGACAAGGTTGCCATAAGTCAGAATTGATACGACAGCATGTGATTGTTTTCTATCTTTGGGGTGTGTGTAATAGAGGGACAGTAGGACACAGATTAAGCCTCGTGAATCCTTGAGTTTGGTCGCACATTTGTTGACTGCTGCCGAGAGCAGTGGCTAGAAGCTGTGCTTACAATGAGGGCGGCCCCATTGATAGCATTTTCAGCCAAAGACTACTGGATCTCTATTCTGGGCTTCAGCTCTTAGGCTGATGATTAAGGTTGGAGATTATTGCCTTTTGGAGAATGCGGCTGTCATTTGAGTGGTAGGTGCAATTGAATGCCAATTGAGCATTCTAAAACAGCAGGGGAGTCCCCTTAACACCCCAAAATGACCGTCTTCAATTTCTCTCTTGTCCGATGGTGCTTTCCTCCTCTGTTGGTCCAATGCCTGCCTGTTTGGGAAAACACAGGGCGTTTCCGCAGCCGGGCAGATCGTCTCCCTCAAAGTGCGGTTGATTGACGATATCGTACGGAAGATCAACAACCACCTCCCTCCTCATATAAGGATTCTCGGTAAGGGGGTGCCCCTCCAAAAGGGGAAGCCCGAGGGGGAATACTGACCCCAGGAGTTAACAGGATTTGAAAAGGGGGGCTAGTTTTCAGCACCTGGGGATCGCATCGGGTCTGAACCCCTGCCAGAGTTTTTAAAAAGGAAGCAACTGGAAATCTGTTTCTGGTTTCATAAAACCTTTTGTGGTGGGAAGGATGGAGTTAAAATAGGTAGCAGGAAGGGGATTCTGTCCCTCCTTTTAATGCAGAATCGTCATTTCTTGGGGGAATCAGGAGAGGAAAATGACATTTTTTATTAAAGTTAATATAAAAGTGAAAGAAGATAGAGGAATTGTGTGCTAATGAAGAGAACATTGACAGTTATTACCTTTGAGCCTCATGATGAGAGATGGGCTTGGTAGTTGTAAAGAAAGCAACAGTGGCAGTGGATAAACAGCATAAGTATTATATTTGGTAATGGCTTAAGAAACCTTGGCTGGTATTTAACCCATTTATAAGGGTGTCCATCATGTGTATACATTTTATCTCGGCTGTTTCCCAGCTGTTTTTGTCTTGTTTTGTTTCCATTTGGACATGATAGGGTCTTAAAGTTCTGTCCACAGAATGTGCAGTTGTCCGTGTGTGTGTCTCTTTAGGATTCAAAAGGGTCACCGGAGGGTTCAACTCCAAGAATAAATGCGACGCCCGGACCTACTCTTATATGCTGCCAACGTTTGCCTTTGCACACAAGGACCGTGAGCCTCAGGACGAGTCCTTCCGCCTGAGCTCGGAGACCCTGGCCACCGTCAACAGACTGCTGAGCTGCTACAAAGGGACTCACAACTTCCACAACTTCACCTCCCATAAAGGCCCCAAGGATCCGAGTGCCAAGCGCTACATCATGGAGATCTGCTGCCAAGAGGCCTTTGTGAGGGAAGGGCTGGAGCTGGCCGTGATCACGGTCAAGGGCCAGAGTTTTATGATGCACCAGATCCGGAAGATGATTGGCTTGGTGATCGCCATCATCAAGGGCTACGCCCCGGAGGCGATCTTGGAGCGGAGCTGGGGGGAAGACAAGGTGGACGTTCCCAAAGCTCCCGGACTGGGCCTGCTCTTGGAACGGGTCCACTTCGAAACCTACAACAAACGTTTCGGGAACGACGGGCTCCACGAAGCCCTGGAATGGGCGGAAGAAGAGCCGAAGATTGCAGACTTCAAGGAAAAATATATCTACCCCACGATTATAAGCACGGAGAAAGAAGAGAAGTCTATGGCAAACTGGCTGGAGACGCTGTCCAACCATGAGTTCAACTCCACCGCCTCTGAGATGCAAGTGGACAGCAGGGGCTCCAAGGTAAGGGGGACAGAGCTGGCCCCACGGAAGGGGCCAAGCCACCCACTCTGGCTTTTCTCCCCAGGAGGGCCAGTGGAGGGAATCAAACCCCCAACCCTCTGTCTCCAGAGCCAGAGACCCAAACCACTGACCTATCCAGCCAGCTGAGAGTTCAAACAACCCTATTCAATCAGACCCAAAGCACGTTTGGACTAGTTCGCTCCTTAGCTAATCAGTCTCCTCTGAGAAGTTCACAATCCGGATGGGAGTCTTAACAGCACCCGCCAGCTTGTGCTCCCCAGCATTTAGCAAACAGAACATCCTGGAAGAGAGGGATTTTTCAGGAATGAGGGCTCCACCTCGTTTTTACAGGCTTTCACCTTGTAGGAGCCGGTTACTATTTTTTGAAATCTCCTGCCATCTCCCAGCCAGGAAATGTAACAATACAGGCTTTCACCTTGTAGGAGCCGGTTATTGTTCTCCTGCCATCTCTCAGCCAGGAAATGTAACACATGAATTACTTTTTGAAAAGTAATTTATCAAATTACTTTTGAAAAGTAATTTCCCTAAAGTAATGGTGGAATCGTAGATGGTGCAAGGGTTTACGGCTGTAAGAGCCAGTGTCCTTTCACCGGTGAGATTTCGGAGGGTTTACGGCTGTAAGAGCCAGTGTCCTCTCACCTGTGAGATAAGCCCCAGATTCAGGTTCCTGCTGAGCCACAAAACCCATTAGGTGACCTTGGGACAATTGCTCACTTTTCGAGTGGCCTACCTCGCAGGGTGGTTTTGAGGGAAAAGTAGGGAGGAAGAGAGTCACAATCAAGTGTGGGAGGAGAGCACTCCAAAGAAGGTAAGGGAAGAGATAAGCAGAACTAGTACCATATATGCTATTTCTTTACATTTTGGGGGATTTTTTTCCCCCAGAACGATCCTGAAGGCAGCGATGGATGTGGTGGAGATGATTCGGACTAAGCCCTAGCAGGGCAAAGCCTCACGGAGGGAGGTAAGACCCAGCGATCCCAAGCTGCCTGCCCGGGAATCGGAGACTTTCTCCGTAAGGGTGGCATTTACGCACAAGGCCCATGAGAAGTGATCAGGCTGGCTTAAGAATGGCTGAAAGGACCCTTGAAAGGGGCTCTTTATCTCCGATGACAGCGGACGAAGGGGAGATACATCGGCTAGCCATAACGGGCCACACCTTATCCTTCCTAAAAGAAGACTCTCTTGTTTTTCTGTTTTTAAGCATCAGCTGAATTGTGGTCACTTTGCTACCAGAAATATATAGGAGAAAATCTTTCATGGGTGGACTCATAATATTCATCAGGACAAGGTGGTAATAATATACATGCATATGATTACTATCTCGTGCATTATTTTGATATTATTTTCGAAAGACCACAGTGTCTTGCCCTCTTCTGAGGTTTCTGTAGCTGTGCTTCTTTTAATCAGGCCAAGGAATAACTGACCTCTTCTCTTAACTGCTGTGTGTTTTGTCTCTTGGCACCCAGAGGTAAGGACAAGAATCGAAAGAATTCTGTTATTTTCCTTTTCTTTCTTTTTTATTTTTTAAAGAACTGAAATAAACTATCTTCCAGATGGCTTTTTAAAAGAATATCTGTGTTCTTTTTTTAAAAAAAAATAAATAAAGGCTTTTCATGGTACAAAGCAGGAGAAGAATCACTGTTATTTTCTTCGTAGCAAATCGTCGTCATCATCTTAAAACTGCAGAGCTGGAAGGGACTTTTATGGATCATCCCCAGCCCTTCTCAGGGAAGCACCGTGTGGAACTGAACTCCCAACCTCTGGCTCCACAGCCACAGACCTAAACCCCTGAGATGTGTAGTTAAAAAAAAAACAAAAAACGGGGGGGGGGATGGTTTTGGTTGCTTATCGCTGAAACAGGAATATTAATTTAGATCTTCACTCAGAAGGTGAATGTAGGGAACCTCTTTTTATGGTGCAAAAGTACAAGATAGGGGCAGTGTACAGTAGGACCCCTGTGGGATCAGTATGTGCTGATGCACTTATCCACTGCCTGAAAATATTAAAAGAAAAATCCTAGAAAAATATATTGCTAAAGGTGAATTTAACAGAACTGGCCACTAGAAGGAGCCAGAGACTATGCATTGTATAGCATTCCTTATAATCTGCATTTTTTTTCAGCATCCCCTGGGGAGGAGCTTGGAACCCATCCCCTGCGAATATGGGGGCCCTACTATAATGGCCTCTGTTGTTGTGCTTGGCCAGAGAGTGCTAATACGATGGGATTCAAAATAAGAGAGTGGAGAAAGAAGCACAGCAAATATCAGGGGAGAGTGGACACAACATGATTTATTTGCATATGTACCTAAACCTGAAAGGGCAAAGCAACCCTCCAGCCCACCTCCAAACTACAGCTCAGTATCCAGATCAGAGGTGCTGATGGGGTGGAGGGAATTAAAAACACTGTATCTGTGATGATTTCGGCATGTTTGACTAGGTCTCTGACAGAGTACCCTGGAAAAGACTGGGAACTCTGTGTGAACAGAAGGAGGTGTCATACAAGGGTATGGCTGGCTGGAATCCTGAACTTGGCACCATCCGCTGCAACACTTTGTTGCACTATCTATCTATCTATCTATCTATCTATCTATCTATCTATCTATCTATCTATCTATCTATCTATCTATCTATCTATCTATCTATCTAATCTCCCATCTGGGTGAAGGCCACTCATAAGCAGATGGTCGCATAGCCTAAGCGCTCCCAGGGTTTGTATGGAACAAAACTCAGGATGGGGCTTTGCTGCTCAGTTTCACTACAAATCCCATAATCCCCAGCTGGCCAGGGGATTCTGGGAGTTGCAATTTTTAAAAAAACCCGCCCACAATGTTTCTAAGTTCAGGACTTGCACTAGAAGTGGCGAACAAAGGTACCGAAATAGAACAAGCGCCACTTATGAGGCGAAAGCGTTATCAAGCTTCGGTGGAACTATTCTGTCCCTAACGCTGCTCTGTAGCTCGCTTACGGGGGGGGGGAAGGCCGTATTATATTTTTGAGCTTGTGATAGGTGAGTTAGACCATCTATCCACGTTTTCTGGGCGGGCCCTAGATCGGGATTGACCAATGGTGTCTATCTCCCTCCATTCCTCCGCCTTCGGAGCTTCCGAAGGCGTCCTCCAAGCTAGGGCAGGGTGATTGGTTTGCCCTGAAAGGGGCACGCCCCTACGGGAACCTATAAGTGGTATCGCCCTCTGCGAGTCTTTATAGGAGCCATGGCAGGACTTTTTTGGAATGTACCAAGAAAGAACTGTGGAGGGGTGTGTGTGTGTCTTTTGAGCCGAGACCAAGCGAGGGTTCTGGAGTCATTAATATCTTTTTGAACGAGATTTCCACTTTTGTTTTATTTAAACTACTTTCTGACCGGGAGAAGAAGACGAAAGCGGCTTCAGAAATTGCTCAGCAGGCAGAAGTCCCACTGGCAGAGCTTTGCATTCCGTAACCAAGGGTAGACCTTCAGATGTTGGGGGATTCCAACACCCATCCTCCCCCACCACTGGCTAGGGCTGATGGGAATTGCAACCTGACACCACCTAAAGGGCCACGTGCTTTTCACCCTGGCTGTAGCGAACAGAAGGTATTTGGCTTTCATGGTTTGTATCTTTATGAAAAAATATTTGATATATTTTTAGCTTGTAGGAAGCAATGTACCAAAACTGATTTAATGCAGCTGATGGCAGATTGAGAAAGAGCTCATTATAATTTAATAAATATGGCCTGTATGGATAATATTTAAAACTACAGAGTAAATGAATTAATTTTTTTTAATTCCTAAATTTAACATGTTGATCCAGTACTGTAGACAAGAATAGTATTAATGGACCCAAGAATACAGCTAACGAATTTTTATGGATGTGCTGTAGAATTATAGATTCCTGTATATATGAATTTATCTAGGTGATGTTGCCCCCTATAAGTTAAAATGTAGTAATTGTAATTCTTTTTGTGTCACATAGCCCTCGAAGAAGGTTGATAGGCCAAAATGTGTTGGGCTTTCTACAATGAAATAAAGAACATTATATTTTCTGCATCTTGGGAGTACAGTTTGAACCTAAGATTTTAGTGGATGTACCAGAGGCCCCTGGACTGCAAGGAGAACCAACCTATCGGTTCTGAAGGAAACCAGCCCTGAGTGCTCCCTGGAAGGACAGATCCTGAAGCCGAGGCTCCAATACTTTGGCCATCTCATGAGAAGAGAAGACTCCCTGGAAAAGACCTTAATGCTGGGAAAGTGTGAAGGCAAGAGGAGAAGGGGACGACGGAGGACGAGATGGTTGGACAGGGTCACGGAAGCGACCAACATGAATCTCACCCAACTCTGGGAAGCAGTGGGAGACAGGAGGGCCTGGCATGCTCTGGTCCATGGGGTCATGAAGAGTCGGATGTGACTTAACGACTAAACAACAATCAGGTCCTTTATGTAGTTATTTCCTGGGAATTACAACCCAATACCATCTACGAGGGTTTTCCACCTTGTCTGTAGAATGAAGTGTACCGAAGGCGTTTGTCTTTCATGGTATGTATCTTTAGGCTGCACTGTCCCCATGCATGGTGCTTAAAAATGCAACAGGATAAGCCCCAGATTTTGGGGTAATGGTAGGGGAAGGCAATGGCTTCTGATGTAATGTTATTCGTAAAATTTTCAGTTAGCAATGTTGAACTGATTCATTTTTACTCTTATGTAAATCTACATCTGCTTTTTTTCCAGACTCTTGACTTGCAGTGGTGTAGACTGTTACTGTACTGTAACTCTTACTTGACCCATTTATATAGGTGGAAAGATGGGATTTTTAAAAAATCTACAATTTGGATCCAGCACAGAGGAGGAGTCATGGAAAAACTCGAAGCACGGATTTGTTGCAGAATACTAAAAAAAATCCTCGGAATGAGAAAGTGACTGAGAAATGAATACTGAAAGAAAGAAATCGCAAGAAAGCATCAAACGTGTAAAATGTGGAAAGCTAGCATAGTTTGATCAAGCAGAAAGCTTGAGAAAAGAGAACGGTCTTTGTTGGGTAAAGGATAGCGAGGGAGGGAGAAACATGGCATCCTGTGGCAAGGAGTTCCACAGGCTTGGAATAGCCACCAGAAGATACCTCTGTCCCCCACAAGGGGTCTGTGAGAATGGCGGAACCAAGAGAATGGCCTCTCTCGGAGAACTTTAAACAGCTTGCCCTGAAAACATGTGGCGTCTTATTGCTCCCAGCTCTTCTGGAAATCTCCCTTTTGTGTTTGATGCTTTCACGTTATTTCGACTCCACAAGCGGCGTTTGCAGCTGCAGCTTTGAAAATGAAAGGAGCAGTGGTGAAAACGAATGGCTTTTCTTTCCAAATAAATTATGCCCCCCCCCAATGCATGCCTACTGCTGGTCTGGAGATCCTTGTTCCTTGCTTCATCACGGCGTGTTGTTTTTGAATCCACAGCACTGGCTTTTTTTGGCTTGCATTTAATCATCATCCTCATCTTAGAACTGCAGAGCTGGAAGAGATTCCTGTGCATCATCGGTCCAGCCCAAGGAGACACAGTTGGGGGGGATCGAACTTCCAACCTCTGGCTCTGCAGCAAGAGATCCAAGCCCCTGAGCTATGGTAATGTTTTCCACGGAAAGTGTATATCCATTTTCCTCAGCCTTACTCCAGGGTGTGTCTGATCCATGAAATGCCCTGGCATTGCCTGAGGATACATTAAAACCTTGCTCAATTCCCTCCCCAACGGGATTCTGAGTTTCCTTTGGGGTCTACAGGTTGAGCAAACACGCATCTCGCAAACAGCCAATGAGCTTCTGTGTATTTCTTCTACTTACATCGGAAGGTTATTATTATTTTTTGGACGATAATTCCCAGAAAATAATAATATTTGTAATTGTAATAATAATTTTAAAAAATTCTGTATTTCCTTATAATAATTTACTTTCAGGATTCCTTTTCTAACTTTCCATTTACATGTTGATTTATCATGGTTAGCTATCTTCCATATTTCTTCTTCATCATCAACACCACAATTTTAGAACTGTGCCGGAAGAAGCCCTATGGATTATCAAGTCCTACCCATCAAGGAGCCGGCCCTATGGATTATCAAGTCCCACCCATCAAGGAGCCATAGTGGGGAATCGAACTCCCAACCTTTGGCTCCACAGCCAGAGTCCTGAACCACTGAGCTATCCACCATGTTATACCACCCCTCCATATTAAACTGGTTATTATTCTTCCAATATCAATCTTGCAATGGTGACCATAATAATAATTAATTCTCTCCCCCCCTTCTAATTGGATATTTCTAAATAGGCTTTGCAAATTATTTTAAGGATATATGGATATGATTTTATTTTATTTAGTATATGCATTTGGGATAGATAAATGTCAAATCCCAGGACAAGAATCGTGTTTCTGGAGAGAAATGCGGGATGCAGATTAAAAGGAGAAAAACATCCTGAGTGTGTTGGGGAACACAGGATGTATAGTGGTGCCCTGCATAGCGATGATAATCCGTTCCAGGATTAACGTCGCTATCGGGATTCTCCGCTATCCGGCCGGGGAAAACCCATAGGAACGCATTAAACTCTGTTTAATGCGTTCCTATTAGGGAAAAACTCACCGGTAAGCGAAGAATCCTGGATCAGGCCGCCATTTTCGCTGCCCGGTAAGCAAGGGCAGGGCGCGAAAATGGTGTGGGCGGCCATTTTCTGCACCTGGCGGCCATTTTGGAACCGCCGATCAGCTGTTCCCAACATGGCCGCCGGGTGCAGAAATGATCGCAATGCGATATTTAGCCTATCTAAACATCGCAATGCGATCGCATTAGCGACCGCAAAAAACAGGTCGCTATGCAGATTCGTCGTTAAACGGTGTGCTCGTTAAGCGAGGCACCACTGTATTATGTATTACAAGTTTTCATTAGAACTGCAGAGCTGGAAGGAAGATCCATTTAATTTTAATGTTTTGTTTGACAACCAAATGTATTGCTTATATTTTGTTCTGTTCCTCCCCCTTTTTAGGTTGCTGTGATATCTTTTTCCTAGGTAGCAATACCTTAACTTGCAGGCCTTGAAGGACAACCCCAGCTCGTAACAACAACGTAGCCGCCAAGACAGACATATTGAGATGAAATGATCGGACAAGACTTTAAATGACTGCGAGAAAGTGTTCTTGAAGATGGGTTAGATATGGTACTTATATCGTCTTTAAATCTGTTGTTTTACCAGTTGTTAGCTGCCTTGCCCTCTGGGGAGAAAGGCTGCATATAAATAACTTAAATAAATAAGTTTTTTTTCTCTCAAAATGAAATGGCTCAGCACTTTCAATTAACAAAATTGTAACACCAAAACAACTTTAAACAGGGTTGGCCCTTTAAAAAATTAGGACCCATAATATCTGATGGCAAGACGAGTAGTTTCTTTTTGGTACGTGTGTGTGTGACCTGCCAAAGGTTCTCTAGCCCTGGTTTGAAAACTACTCTTACTAATTAAAACTAATTTATTCCAGCCAAAGCATTGAAACTACTGACGGGCAAAGTGAAAAGCATTGAGTATATCATTCCAATGGTGCCTGCCAAAGGGTTGGGTATGTTAGGCAGCCAGCGGTCAGTTCTTGATTTTCATAAGTTAGAAGCCGGAGATGTGTGCAAGCGAAAGATCTGAGCGACTTTGACAAAGGCCGGACAGTGATGGCTTAGAAGATGATCAGGTCAGACATCTCCAAAATGGCAAGTCTTATGGGGAGTTCCCAGCATGCAATGGTTAGGATGATCCCTGTCCACTACCAAAAGCTCGTACAATGGGGATGTGAGTGTCAGAAGTGGACCATGGAGCAGTGGAAGAAGGTTGCCTGGGTTGATGAATCATGTTTTTAAATCAGATGGATGGCTGGGGGAGTGTACGTCATTGATCTGGGGAAGAGATAACAGGATGCACAATGGGAAGAAGGCGGGCAGAGGCAGTGTTAGGCTCTGCGCCATGTTCTTCTGGAAAACCACGGGTCCTAGCATCCACGTGAATGTTCCTTGGATACGCATCACCTGCCTAGAGATAGTTGCAGGCCACATACACCCCTTTATGGCAATGGTGTTCCCTGGTAGCGGTGGCCTCTTTCAGCAGGATCATGCACCCTGCCGCACGGGTTCAGGAATGCTTTGAGGAACATGACAAGAGTTCAAGGTGTTGTGTTGGTCACCAAATCGCCAAGATCTCGATCCTGTTGAGCATCTAGACTGTGCCAGAACACCAAATCCAGACTTAAAAGGACCTACTGCTAATATATTGACGCCAAACAGCACAGGATACGTTCAGAGGTCTTGTGGAGTCCATGCCTTGACATATCAGAGCTGTTTTGCCTACACGAGGGGGACCTACGCTATATTAAGCAAGTGGCTTTAATGTGTGACTGCTCAGTGTTTAACAGAGTGGCTTCATTATTGTTCTTTTGACTTATACTGTACATTGCCCCATAGTGCATAGAGCATTCGCTGGGCCGTTTACAACAGGGGTCCCCAACCTCCAGTCCACTGCCTGGTGCCAGACTGTGGCCATGGCAGGACTGGGCCGCGGAGACAGATCTCCCGCCCCCCCCCTGCACACA